CTGGAAGAGAGATCAGAGAGGACCTAACAAAAATACAAAGTAATTGCCAAAACTCCACCTTCAACAAGCCCCACCACGTTACCTGCTAAGAGTTTGACAATGTTGAAATAGTAGGGAAAAGGAACGTGAAGAAACATTTAGGAAGGGATTGCAATTTACAATAGCCATATAGGGAACTAAAGAATGAAAATATGAGGCAATAATTAACTCCAGAAAAATATATCATTGAGCACTACTTGGTTCAGCAGTGAGCAATGTTTGTGTAGTCAAAATAATGCAAACAATTGATTATGAATCAATAATGGGACAGGTGTGAGAAGGGGAAATAGGGCCATTGTGTAATTCTGGATGTCATAAATAAAATTTACAGTTGACAAATTAAGAAATAGTGGTGTATTCGTTTCCCTGCATATAAGTTACCACAAACCCTATGGCTTAAAACAACAAAAATGTATTCTTTCACAGTTCAGAAGACCAGAAGTCTAAAATCAAGGTGTCATCAGGGTTGGCTCCTCTTAAAAGGTTCTGAAGCAGAATATGGTCCATACCTCTCTCTGCGCTTCTGGGGATTGTCAGCAGTCCTTGGTATGCAGAGGCTTGCTGCAGAATTCTAATCTCTGCCACCAGAGAAGACGTCATCTGGTCATCTTTACATCATGTCTCTTTCTGTGAGTCTCTCTTCTTGCTCTTATAACACCAGTCATAGTGGACTTAGGGCATACCCTATTCCATATGGCCACCTCTTAACTTGAATAGTTACATCTACAAAGATCTTGCTTTCAAATAAAGTCACCTTCTGAGGTTCTGGAAAGAATGTGAATTGGGGCAGTGACACTATTCAACTCAATACAACCAGTGTAAGTATAATATTTAGGAATGTTGAAGTGAATTACAACAGAATCAGCTAAAGGTCAAAAGTCCTTACCTCTGGAATGGAAACTGGTGGGTGGAGAGAACATGGTAGGGAAACAATGTTCCTGCTTATAAGGTTTGGAAAAGACATGCCTATTGCACACTGACACCATGTCCCTTCCTTCAGGCCAGTAGGAGTTTCATATTTCTTCTCCTTCTGGTTGTTCACGTGTGGTCAAGTGGCTAGTTCCTAATAATAGGTTGGATGAAAAGGATATGTATGTTCAGAGCTCTAACCACCAGAGCGGGACCATTCAGTTCTATTCTTCCAGCCACAGGGATGGGGAAACCATGTGTGCAAACAGAGCTGCTTTCAGTCTGAGCAGAGTGTCCCCTGGCTAAGGTCTGAATATTTGTTCCCCCCTCCCCAACCACGACAAATCCATATGGTGAAACCCAACCCTCCAAGATGATGGCATCAGGAGTTGGGCCTTTAGAAAGTCATGAGAGTAGAGCCCTCAGGAATGGGATTAGTGTCCTTATAAGAAAGACCCCAAAGCAATGCCTTGCTCTTTCATCAGGTGAGGACACAGCAAGAAGGCACCCTTTAAACCAGGAAACAGGCCCTTACCAGACATCAAACCTGCCAGCACCTTGATCTTAGACTTCTCAGCCTCCAGTACTGTGAGAAATAAATTTTTCTGTCTCTAAGTTACCCAGTTTAGCAGCCTAGACAGACAAAGATACCCAGTTGTATCAGACATAAAATCCTTGTTTTTGTTATCTGCTGAGATTTTGAGTTTGTTGTTGAGTTTACAGCCACACAACCTTACCTGTCTTAATTGATACAATGCATGGAGTATAATTTGAATTTGATGCAATTTACATGTACTTACTATTCTGATAAATATTAAAATGAATAACATAAACCATAAATGGTAAGAGATAATACACAAAACCACTTAGCATTGGTGATTTTAGCAGGTCACTTTTTAAATGACACAATATTCTGAGAGTACTGGATTCAAAGTTCTAGCAGGCATTGTCAAACTGGGGCATGGGATACATGAAGCCAAATCTTACTGCACAGTTTTTTTTAATTGGATTTTATTACTTAAGGAGTAGTACCCTGAATTAATCTAAATATGGATATGGCTCATTTTCCACGATGTCTCATGTGCTGGAGTATGGCAAAAGAAATGTGTCTACTTTTCGGAGTCTAGTCTTCCTTTTGGGTTCCATTTGTGCTTAATCTTTTTCTTGAATGAATAACAACAGGTTCTAAAAATTTACTTCCAAACTCCTCTTTCAAGTGGATTTTTAAAACTCTATAAATGATCAATACCATTACCTGGGTATGAATTTATTTCTATTTAGAAACATAGTCGTCTCCTCTATAATGTGATGGTGAAGAGGTTCCCACAGGTGAGTCTGCTCCTGCCCACTTGATGTCACCTCTCTGTTACTGCCTGGGTGATAAGTCCTATCAATCTTGCATATTCTACTTCTGTTGCAATGTCAGCTGCCTGTATTTGTGGCTTTCAATTTATTCCATGATTGTGAGTCTTTATTCAATATACTTTTCATTAGGTAGGTGAAATACCACCCAGTATCGAATTCCTCTCCCATTCAAAGAATGTGGAAGGATTATTATCTTCCTCCCTGCTGAAGTTAGACAAAGTCATGTGACTAATTCTAATGAATGAATGGCATTTTAATGAAAATATTTGTGTAACAAGGAAGATATAAAGCCCCAATAACTTATATTCATTTCAAGAAATTTTCAATTCAATTCCAGTACAAAAAAATGATAGTTTTTAAATCTTCACCATGATGAGATACCAATTAGCTGATCAGACTGGGAGCTCTCTGAGGGCAGAGCTATTGTGAAACCCACACACACTAGATGCTCAATACACATCTGTTGAATGGATGAATAAAATATTGAGTGATGAGTAACCATAATTCTAATAATGTGTCTTGATTAAATCATTCTTATTTATCCTCTGTGTTCATTGGAACAGTTTACTAATTTAGAAATCTACCCTTAAATGAAAAAGATTTTATCAGTGAGATTAGCAACAATATTCTAGTTTCTCAAAAAAGGTTAACATGAAATCAAAGAAGGAAATTACAGGGAGTTTTGCTGTTTCTGAACTTTGTAATAAAGATGGCCCAGAGGTGCAAATATTATAATATGATTTTTTTTTTTTAGAAGGAGTCTCACTCTGCTGCCCAAGCTGAAGTGCAGTGGTGTGATCTCAGCTCACTGCAACCTCCACCTCCAGGTTCAGGTGATTCTCCTGCCTCAGCCTCATGAGTAGCAGGGATTATGGGGGTGTGCCACCATGCCTGGCTAATTTTTGTACTTTTAGTAGAGATGGAGTTTCACCATGTTGGCCAGGCTGGTCGCAAACTCCTGACGTCAGGTGATCAACCTGCCTCAGCCTCCCAAAGTGCTGGGATTATAGGCATGAGCCACTGTGCCAGGCCCCTGGTTTTCTTCTTTCTCTTTGAGTTTAGTGATTTGAGGCTGTTACAAATTGAATGTTTGTGTCCGTCCAAAATTCGTATGTTGAAGTGCTTACCCACAGTGTGATGGTATTTGGAGGTGAGGTCTTTGGGAGGTGATTAGGTTTAAATGAGGTGATGAGGGTGTTGCCCCCATGATGGGATTAATGACTTTAAAAGAAGAAAAAGTGACAATAGAGCTTCTTCTGTCTGCCATGTAAGGATACAGTAATAAGGAGGCCCTCTACAGTTAAGAAATGAGGGCCCGGGCACGGTGGCTCACGCCTATAATCCCAGCACTTTGGGAGGCCGAGGTGGGTGGATCACGAGGTCAAGAGATCAAGACCATTCTGGTCAACATGGTGAAACTCCATCTCTACTAAAAATACAAAAAAATTAGCTAGGCATGGTGACACGTGCCTGTAATCCCAGCTACTCAGGAGGCTGAGGCAGGAGAATTGCCTGAACCCAGGAGGCGGAGGTTGTGGTGAGCCGAGATAGCACCATTGCACTCCAGCCTGGGTAACAAGAGTGAAATTCCGACTCAAACAAAACAAAACAAAAAAGAACTGAATCAGCCAAGACCTTAATCCTGGAATTCCTAGCCTCCAAAACTGTAAAACATGAATGTCTGTTGTTGAAGCCATCCAGCCTATAATATTTTGTTACAGCAGCTCCAGCTAAGACAAAAGCCAAATTCGCATCTTCTCTACCTCTCTTAGAAATGTAATATTATTTTTGCACGCCGCAGTCACCTTCTCTTGCTTGCAGCAACCAGCCTAAGATTCTACTGCCTCTTTAGGTAGAATAAGTAACATGTCTATCCAATGACCACTCTGAATCATCAAATATTTCCTAATTGAGCAGGAATGGTTTCTTTAACCACCATTGTTGCATAGCATTGTTGGCTGTTAGGCTCCAACCTAGGCATGGTGCTCTTGGGTTTCATACAATGCAAATTAATGGAAATTTTCACTAGACTCCAAGAGCTTCCAATTTGAAAAAATAGAAAGTTCAGTAATGCAGCCACAAGTTTAACTTTTTAAAAATTCCCTGGATCATATTAATACCCTACAAAGTTGTATTATTTTAATTTTTTTCCCTCTTCGTAAATACATTTAATACATTTCCCTGGCTTGTATTGACCATATTATGCCCCTGCAGTTTCCTGAAAATATGGCCTTTTGGATTGGCAAACAGTAATGGGAATAAATTCTTTAAGCACTATGTAAAAAGCTTACTTGAAATTTTGAAGTCTCATACCAAAATGCTGACTATTAAATAGAGATTTGTTATACAATGCCAAATGAAAATGTGCTGTCATAATTCACTGCATAAAGTTTAGTTTTTACATCGTTTTGATAAATTTACCTCATTTACCAGTATAGCTACAAATCATACCTTATGGTTGCCATGCAAAGGCAGTAAAATATTACATACTCAGATGACCTCCATCCAGAAATGCTTTTCACCGTTCAGTTTTTATCTTTCAAATACTACTTTCTTTAGAAGCAAACATAACTGCCATTGTAGAGGGAAGCTACTGGCCTGGGACAAGTCCTAGCATTTAGTGCTCTGACAGATCTTAATTTGGATATTAGCCAAAGTCAATAAAACTTGTTCGTGCAGAACCTTACCTGGTTTTTACCACATCGAGGGGGTGCATCAGGCAAATTTCTACAAGACCTGAAAGATGATAAAGAAAGTCCAATAAACACTTATGTAAACACTGGTTCTTATTTCCTTGACCCTGTCAATTTCTCAAGTTTGAGGGTTCAGATAAAGAACTTGGGACTTTGGTATGACAGCTAATAGTAATAGGCTAATGGCAAAAAAAAAAAAAAAACAAAACAAAAACAAGCATAATATGATTTTATTTCAATGGGAACAAGATATGTGAGCAAGTACTTTCTTACAAATGCTCTGGCAGGGATGTAGGGCAGGAGGCAAAAGAAATTTTAAAAAAGAATCAGATGTGCTAATTCCAATCAATTGGGAGGACATTATGTCTTCCCATTCCAGCCCAATAATAAGGATATGTGGAAGGAGGGGAGGAAAGAAAAGAAAGAAAAAAGGGCCGAGGCTCTTTGAATCTCTCCCAGCTTTGCTATGTTAGTAAACATAGCAAATCAGAAACCTGAGTTTCAGTATCCATGAAACAAAGATAATGATGTCTCTTCCCTCCCAAGGTGGTTATAAAAAAGCAAAACATATCAATACATTAATAGCTTAATAGAGAATATTTCTTGCTAGATCATTGTGTGCTAGGCAGTGTTCTAAGCAGTACTTAGATTACCTCGTTTAATCTTCACAAGAACTTTATGTGATAGAATGTATTATCCCCATTTTACAAATGAGATCATTGAGGCACACAAGTTAAATAACTTGTCGAAGTTGCTACATCTAGGAAGTAGTCTTAATTTCCACAGAGCCCTGATCTTAACCATTACACAGTGAAAGAACTATAGCTTCTTGCAAATAAATTATAGAACTCTCTCCTATAGTCTGAGCAGAGAAGACTATTTAATTATAATACAAACTACTGGTATGCAACAATAGGAGTAGTACAAGTAGTGTTAGGTACTAGTAGTTGTAAAAAATAATTATAATAGTCATCATTATGGTATTATAGAGGTAATAATAGTAATAGTTATCTACATATGGATGGTCATTTAACATATATGGTCACTGATATGCACAAGCGGACAAGGTAAGTATCATTATCATCTTTTCTTTAAGATAAGAAAAATAATGTTGATAGTGTTCAACTTATTTGCCCAAAGGCCACACAACAGTATTTGTGAGTAGTTTCTTACAGGCAGAGAATTTACCTCCATTTATAAGTGAACCCAATTTGAATTTAACTGTGATGTAGTTTATCTTTCCCATCCCATATTTATCCATACAATGTCTTTCCTTCTGCATACTGGCAAGGTCCAGAAAGCTCAAAGGGCCTGTACCTATCTGAAAGCCCACTTTGCTTCTGCAGAAGCCTTAGAAGGTTTTCCCTGCATATTCCTACTCTAGGTTGCAAAGTTCTATGTACTGACCAAAGCTGTCTTACTTTGGCTACAACGAATAAGATCCAATATGGATGTTTGTGCCAAAGGCTTCCCAGGTCAAGAACCCAATTGGAGTCTCATTGCCTAGAGACAGGAGGAGACAGGCTCAGGGGAGCAGAGGCCACAGGATTGCTGGACACAACAGCAAAGCCTCTGGGTACTGTTTTAGCTTTATTAATAAGGCTTGTTACCCAAGGTAGGATGAGCAGAAATCTTCCTGACAAATTGTAAGGTCTCTATATACTTCTCCTTGCTTGAGAATTCACATTTACCCCAAAATAAGAATCACGTGACCAGAATTTTCACCCTGATGCCTTCAGGGAATCATCATTCACTCATGATGACATTAGTTCCTTATCTGTAAAGCAAAAGATTAAATGGTCTAGAATAACTTTGAGGTCTAATATTCTGTTTGTTGCTGTTTTTGAATCTGACTCACATACACACACACACACACACATTATTTATAATTGTAATTTAAGCTTTCTTATATTAGCTATAGGATAAAACCCTAATCCTATTTTTAAAATTTACTCTGGAAACTCAGACTTTAAGAATAGCATCCTTACCTCACACTGCAGCAGACATCCATTAAGTGCACTTCTGTGCACCTCATGTACATAAGGAAATAAGACACTCAGAATCAGTTTACCAAAGCAAGTATATAAGGCTGCTCCCACTGACATTAGAGTAGAAGCAAAAAACACAAACCAAATAACACTAGTTGGTAGATCGCTCAAAAAGTTGACCAAAAGAGCCCACAATACCAACAACTTATTAAAGCTTACAGCAAGACTTCGAGAATCAGACCACATTAATATAAATCTGTTTACCTATTTGCAAAATTGTTTCAGTTTCCTATGTGTTAATGCACATTTCTGAGGTAAACAGATAATAGATCAGATGATTATACTTTTGTGATTACTTAAAGTTATTTTCTATCCCTAGTATGCACCAAAACACTCATTTATTCATTCGACAAACTTGTACTGGTTGCCCTCTATGTGTCCGGTATTGAGGATAGAGTCTAGTGAGGGGAACAAATAGACACATAAGAACATATAATAGTAGATGGGAGGAGGTGCGATGCTCAGAGTTTATGAGAGCACATTGGAGAGAGGCCCTGCCCTAGCATGGGATCAAGTGAGGGGTGGGAAAGGGATTCAAGGCAGAGAGAGGACAGCATGAGCATGAGGCATGGAGGAAAGACATTGCACAGAGAAAAGAAGAAAAGAACAGAAAACGAAACACCGCATATTCTCACTCATAGGCGGGTGATGAAAAATGAGAACACATGGACACAGAGAGGGGAGTACTAAACACTGGGAAAATAGGGGGAAAAGGGGAGGGCCAGTGGGAGGGGGAGGTGGGGAGGGATTGCCAGGGGAGAAATACCAAATGTGGGAGAAGGGGAGAAACCAAACAAAACACACTGCCCTGTGTGTACCTATGCAACTGTATTGCATGCTCTGCACATGTACCCCAAAACCTAAAATGCAATAAAAAAAAAAGAAGAAAAGACTCAAGAAGCACTTGAGCATTACGGCAGCCTAGGGTTGAAGGCAGGGCATGGCAAAAGATGAGTCTGGAAGTATACAGGTGAGGCTGTATACAAGTTCACATTTAGGCACTTCCGCTTTATCCCACATGCCATGAGGAGCCAGTGAAGGATTTTCTCTTTTAAATAACTCTTGGTTGTTTTTTCTTATTACCAATGTACTCCATGTTTATTGAAGACATTTTGAAGAGTTGTAAGCAGAGGAGTGGTATTGACTTCTGCTGATGTGCTCTCCCATGATCTAATCATCTGCTCCCTTCAATTCCCCCCACTGCTCCCAATCACAGCTAATCACATGCAAGCACAGGTGCACTGATGTCCCATTTCTCTCACCATCAGTAACCAGTTTACCAGCAAAAGCATCGTCTCTCATCATAGCATAGATGTCTTGGTGTCCCATGCACCTCTAAATCTGAGAGTCAACGGTTATCTATGAAACTACCTGCAAAACTGTGACCTGGCCAAAAGGAAGATGGGACTTATATGGTCAAATATAACATATTTGATCCAGGATCTCCGTGTGATTATTTATTCACTGTTATTTCTAATCAAAACAAGTAGAATTTACATTAGCAATAAAAGTCAAGGGACTTTTACACTACAGGCAGAGAGAACAGAAATGTTAGAAATTATATGGAGGTTTTGACTTTGATCAGAGTTCAGAGTTAAATATGAATTCACTCAGAGTGGGAATGGATGCTTGCTGTCCTTCATAGACTGTGAGACTCTGATTATTATTTATGAAGATAATCATATAAATAGAATCAGATTAATCACGTTATACAGGCCTAGAAGTGACCTTAAGAAACTGAATGGTACCATGTACTTATTGGCAATTCTATAACCTAGCTTGAAGTCATAAACTAAATAATAAGTTAATGAGCACAAATTTTAACTATTTCTCTTTTCTCATAAAATTCAAAGTCTAATATAGAAAAGAAGATGACTCTGAAATATCAGCTTCCATTTAGTAATCCATCCTAATTGCCAATATAAGACACACTGATCTCAAGACAAATAAGACTTAGAAGTGTTGCTTTCACCAACCTGGCATTTATTAAACTCACCAGCCACAGATGAATTAAATGGTTCAGTCTCCCCCACTCATGCATGATATAAAAACTGTATTGCCAATCACCAACCATAGAACCACTTTCTCTGGGGAAAAACGTTGTAACTTCATACTGTTTGAGCGGTAATACAAAAAAAAAAAAATGTGTAAGAACCTAAATAATTATAAATTTAGATCAGTGCTTTTCTTAGACTCTGCAGCTGATTTTAGCTTATAAATTTGGTGTTTCATATTAAAACCAGAAAAAGTCATTTTAGAGATAAAATGTCTTCAAATCATTTAATTTTAAATGGGCTGGACTATTTGTATCTTCTATTCATTTTGGGAATAAAAAGCAGAACCAAAACATAACCAAATGACAGTATGAAAATAATTAGAAAAACATACATTTTCTCAAATAACATACTATATTTCAGAAAGTTAAAAATGTTCCATATGTTATTTTTATTTGAGGCAACTGCTGATTTATCACAATAACAAGCAAACAAGAATTAGTATTAGATTTGTTTAAACGAGACAAAATACTGATTTTATAAGGCTAAACATTATAAAAATTAGGAAAGCCCCAAAGACTGATATTGTGAATTTAATATATTGTGTGCAGATTTATGTCATGTTAGTGAACATGACTATATCTCTAAGATTTGAATGAAACTGGTAATGTGACCCTACCAGGGGCACAAAAACGTATGGGTTATCACCTTACCTTGTACCTTAGGATGGCCCCTAAATGCTCTGTTCTTTGAACTGAATCAAGTACATGCCTTCACCTGAGCCAATTTGTTGGGCAAAGAGTAACACCTCCCTGCCATCTTTTATGAGACTTCATCTTTTCTGAGAAGATCTCCTGGCTGCCTGTTCAACCACAAAACCGCACTGATCATTCACACCACCCCCACCTTCCTCTGAAATAACCTGCACTGCATTCTTTTCCATAAAAAAAAAGTGCAAACATCGTCACACAATGATTAATCATGATTGGTGAGAGAAAAGT